CGGCCCACCTGCATCCCCCCCAGGTAGGGCAACCCCGGTCCTTCGCCGGCCCCGGGGCCGCGCTGGGTCCCCGTCACCGTGGGTTCCCCGGCAAAGCCCGAATGCAGGAAAACCAAGCTGCCGGCTGCCAGGTAGAGAGCCAGCAGCGTGAAGAAACGCACAGGTTTTCGCCGAAAATACCGCTGGAGTTTTACCAATAATTTGGCCATAGCGTCTTCATCCCTTCCCCGGCAGCCGGCGCCGCGGGGGAGCTGCTCTCCGGCCCCAGGGATGCTCCGAAGGGGGATTTGTCCTCCCCCCCCCTCCCTCCCCAGGCTGGTGGTTGCTCCTGGTGTGTACGAGGGGAGCAGACGGGTGCCCCCAAAACCCAGCAAGGTGAGGCCGTGCAAAGCTATTGCCCGATCCTAAAAAGTCCAGGAGGGCTGGAGAAGGAAAGAGGGGGGGATTTTGAGGTCCCCCAGGCCGTGCAGCAGACGGGTGCCCCCAAAACCCAGCAAGGTGAGGCCGTGCAAAGCTATTGCCCGATCCTAAAAAGTCCAGGAGGGCTGGAGAAGGAAAGAGGGGGGGATTTTGAGGTCCCCCAGGCTGTGCAGGGGGGGTTTCTCCAGCGCTGGCTGGCACCGCCGTCTCCGGTTTATTCTCCTGCCGGCAAAGCCCCCCGGCCGTGCCCCGGAGACCGGGCTGCTGGAGGGATCATGTTAAGGAAATCGAGGGTTTGAAGGTGATTTGAAAGCCGATCAGCTGACGCAGCTCTTCTCCCTCGCCTTTCCGCTCGGCGGCACCGGCTCTCCCAAGCATCTCTCTAATGGAAACGGCACCGTCGCCCTTTCAGACAAAGAATGAGAAGTCCCTGGACGCGTCTCAGGGCCTGAAATGCTGACTGGGACCCTTTGTCTAACGAAGCCCCATTCATCTCACTCCCAGGGCGAGAAACCTCCACCTGCAAGGCAAAGAGAAAGGCACACGCTGAGGAAAGCGTCCCAGGACGCGGGGAGGATGGCAATTTCCTTGCCCACCGTGGGGCGAGGAAGGACCCCCCCGGGCTCTGCTTTGCCTTTCAGCCCCGTGGAGGGGCACTTCCACCTCTCGTCCCCCGGCACAAGGAGGCGGGACGGGCGAGAGGCGTCGGGGCGGTGGGAGCGATGCTGGCCGCCAGCGGCCCGGGGTTAGGGACAGGGATTTGGGGGGGGGGGGTCGTCCCCCCCCTCCAGAGCCCACACATCTCCGCCTCGTCGTGCAGGAGAGGTGCTACAGGAGGGCTCTGGGGCGCGTAGAGGATTTCTGGTTTCACCCGATTTCGCCCAATCTCACCCACAAGAGGATGAGCCGTGCTCCCACGCACCCCCGTGGCTGCGTTTCAGCCCATCATACCCCCAGTGAGGCTTTTGCAGAGGTGGAGGTCAGAGCATCCTCTACCTCCAGCCAGGACCGAAGGGCTGACCTTCCCCGTTAGCGCCTTGCCAGCCAGGATGGACACGGCGCTGGCCCAGGAACGCCACGGCCGGGGCCACCCAGAGCCATCCCTGGTGGCCCTCGGCAAGGGGAGAGCAGCCGAGCCCAGGGAAGGGACGGTCCCCTCAAGTCCCTTTTCCCTCGGGGGGGGATTTCTCTCCTCCAAACCCCCCCCCAGCTATGGGGGAGTCACTCCAGCCCTGCCCGGGACAACGTCACGCCAGGTTACGTGGTGGGACTGGCTTCACGGTGGGAAATGCCACTGCCACCACTGCCCGCCGGCACATCGACGGTGGCGGAGACGGCCCCATGCTCGGGGTGCGCTGCCTGTCACGGACTCGTCTTATTTTAGGAAAGGAGACGAAAATAAATGGAAAGACAAAGTGCCATTAGTTTAATGGCCTCTATGTTCCTGCCATCTGTCTTCAGTTGATTAAATAAAAAATATTGGTGGAACATATGGCATGAATTATACATAAATATTTTAATTCGGGTTCCCAGAGTGGTTCCTCAAATACCTCCGGCTCCGCTGGGAACTTTTGTGGCGCTCAGAGCCGCGTGGGGCAGATTGCCGGTGGGGCACGAGCCCCTCGGGCTCCCCCAAACCGCCCCCTTCCCCGACCACGAGTGGGGCCACCGCAGCCCGAGCGACGGCCGAGTAAACTCGGAATAAGCAGCCGTATTCGGGTTTTTGCATCTGCAGACCCCTCTGTGGCAGGACGAAGGCGGGGGCAGCATGTCCACCCCCCGCCGCGGTGGGCGAGCATCCCTCAGCCCCACGGTCCCATGGACCTGCGGGCGTTTGGCCGCTCTCCTGGCCGGTGGCCCCCGGGGAAGGACCGCTCCGGGGGAACTCGTGGCTTCCCCTCCCACGCCGGCACCAGAAGCTCTTCCACCCGCCTTCCTGGGGCTTTATACGGGCGGTTCGGGATGCGGCCGGGGTGCAAACGGGACATCCCCGGGGCTGTCTCTGGTCCCCAGTGTCCCCGCTGCCACCCACCCTCCTCCCTGCCTGGGCTGGGTCCTGCCGGGCTACGGCAAGAAAGCACGGCATATAAAGAAGGGGCTTAAATTACTATCATTAAGCCATCTGGAGCTCATCCTTCTCCATCATGAACTGCGGAGTCGCAGGTCAATTACTGCACATTTGCATATATTCCATTAATGCTTCTGCTAATTGTCTGGAGGAGATAATGTGCTGGGCTTACGGCTCCCTCGCTGGCTACGGTTTACAAACAACAAGCGCGGCAAATAGAGTCGGCACCAACGCTCCCCATCTCGGCGGAGGTTTGGGCCATCGCGGGGGGCTGACTGGGGGACCCCACTCCGGTGGTGGCCACCCGGGATGGGGGATGCCGGCAGCACCCCGCAACGCTGCTCCGTGCACCACCTCGGCCGGACCCCGCGAACCCCCATCCCCACCGCAGCCCCCACCGGCGAGTGTCCCCCAGGGGTTGCATCCTGCACCCCGCGCTGCCTGACCGGCCTCGGGCTCTGCCTCTGCTCGGGTCCCAGGGGACGGCTTCATCCCCGGGGAGTCGTGTGGCTGGAAAGCTTCCCCCGGCTGGCAACGCCGGGGCTCGGCGTCCCTCCCTGCTCCCCCGGACCTCCAGACCCAAAGCACGGCAGAGCCAAGCCGGGGGGTGTGGGGGCATTTCCCAGGCGCTTTGCACCATTACAAGCAGGCAGCGGCTCAAGGTGGGATGGGGGGGGACAGGGTGGACTGGTTCCTCACCTACCTCCATCGCCACGCTCCTGCCAAGAGCCGAAATCCTCATTCCGGCAGCAGGATGCCCGAATGAGCATCGCTCCGCACCCGACCCACCTCCCTCTGGGGTGGCAGCGGTACCGGGGCTGGCAGAAAGCGAGAGAGCTCTGCCCGTGGGTTTGGGGCTCCGCAATTACCAGGGGCCAAGGAAATCCTCATTAATTTGCCAGGTTTACCCTTCCCCCTGCGCAGAGGCGGTGGGTGGGGAGGTGGGCACGGGTCCCGAGCGGGCTCCGCCGAGCGGTACGAGCATCTCTGCGACCCCTCAGGACCGGGATGAATGAAGCGCCGATAAATTATACATTTGGGTCTTGTCTCCAAATTGCTCTGCAATTATTGAGCACCAAGGTTCAGCTCCCTTCAAGCACCACCTCACATCTGACCACCGCAAAACACACTGAAGGGCTCACGTGGTTCCCCCAGCGCAGGAGAACAATCAGCCCATTAAAAACAGCAAATTAACCAACACAAGAGTTCCATTAGGAGGAGAAGGCGACCGAACTATCCAATTTCATCACCTCATTAGCATTTCTTATCAGAGGGACGGGGAAAGAATAGGGCTTTAAAATACAGAAGGATGGGATGGAGTCTACTTGCCCACAACAGGGCGAGCGCCCGGGGGGCCCCTGTCCCGCCGCAGGGCTCTCCGCAGGCACTCACCTCCCTCCCGTGGAGGGGGAACCCGGTCCCGCACCCGTGGGTGCTGAGCACCCTTGGATGCCCAGCACAGCTTCTCCCCAAAAAGCCTCTGCTGAGGTCTGGAAATGCAGCGGCGTGCAGCACCCAGTGCATGATGCACAGGACACGGCGCATGGCGGTACGACACCCAGCGCATGGTGCACAGGATACAGCACACGGTGTGTGACACCCAGCGCATGATGCGCAGGACACGGCGCATGGCGGTACGACACCCAGCGCATGATGCACAGGACACGGCGCATGGCGGTACGACACCCAGCGCATGGTGCGCAGGACACAGCGCATGGTGGTACGACACCCAGCGCATGATGCGCAGGACACGGCGCATGGCAGTATGACACCCAGTGCGTGCCATGCAGGACCCAGCGCGTGGCATACAAGAACCAACGCGTGGCACGCTCCCTGGGGACACGCTGCCACGCAAAAGCCACCCACTCCGGTGCGGGGGACCATGTGCCTTCGCAGAAAGCCCCGTGTCCCTCCGTCCCTGCCCTTGGCTCCGTGGTGACTGCTGCCACCGCAGAGCAGCTCCTGCGGCTTCCCACCCTCGGCTCCTCCTCCCCCGGTGCAGGCAGCGGGTGATGACGCCAACCAGTGACACCAGTATGAACAGCCAGAGGCACTGGGCACCCTTGGTGCTGGCGTCCCTCAAGCCTTTCGGCCTCCATCCCTCGGAGCGCACCGCGGCGGGAGCGTGGCATCGCTGCCCGGGCTGAAGGTGGGCGACTCGAGCTCCCGGGTAAACCCGCCACCTTCTTCAGCCCCATCAAAATGGATTTTCACCCTTTTTCGCTCTTTAAAAGAGGAATCATAGAATCACAGAATGGTTTAGGTTGGAAAAGACCTTAAAGATCATCGAGTTCCAACCTCCCTGCCACGGAGCGGCATATGAGACGCGTCGGGCTGAGTTTAAGCACCGTTAGTGCTGGGAACGAAACCGAGCTGAACTGGGGACGTTGAAAATCGAGGTCTCTGTCACAGCGGGGCACGTCCGGACCCTTCGATGCATCTTCCCCGCAGCACCCAGCACCCGCCCACTGCCTCGCGCCGGGGCGAGCCGAGGGCACTGAGCCATCAGCTTGCCTTCAAATTGAAGCGAAATTTATTTATTCAGCTGCTCCCCATCTTAATTCTGCTGAATTCTGTTCGCGCATCCCCTCCGCCGGGAGCGGCGCGGGGGAAAGGTTCGCGTGCGCTTAAAAACAGCTGACTCGGCGGCTTTTTTGGTGTCGCGGCAAGCGGTGGCTGCTCCGTCCCTGCTCCCGGGGTTGGCACCTCTTCCTCGGCGATGAGGTGCTC